AATCCCCAGCCCCTGATCCCAGCACTCGGGAGGCTGAGGTAGGAGGATCGTTGCAAGTTTGAGACCAGTCTGGGCTACAAAGTGAGCTCAAAGCCAGCCTGAACTGCAGAGCCAGACCCTGTCTCAAAAAGGCAATAAGTAAATAAATAAATAAATAAAGTTTGTTACAGTAAAAGACACACTCCCGTGATTCCCCCTCTAAACTCTCTCCCTCACCCTGAACACACTTACCCCATTGTCCTGGCCACTTTCTGAAGTGGTTCTGGAAGTCCTCTTTTTTGTCTTTACAAGGTATGATCAGAAATACAGCATATGCCGCTGCTGTGTGCCATCCAGTGGAAAGGCGGGCTGGTAAAAAACATTACAGTGTGTCCTCATCCGTCTTATTCATTAGCTCTGGCACTGTCGACTTCTGACTCTTCCCAAAGTCAAAATGACCATGAAAAGTAAACGTTCTTAACCAACTCGAGACACCGAAGCAGCCACAACACTGACACTAAGACCCTCATGAAAGAAGACTTCCAAAACTGCTTAAGAAGTGCCAAGAAGCAAGCGGGGTGTATCTGCTCAAAGCAAAGGGGAATGTTTTGAGGGAGGTTCATGGCAATGGGTTTTTTACTACAATAAACTTTTAAAATTTAAACATTCTCTGTAGCCGGGCGTGGTGGTGCACGCCTGTAATCCCAGCGCCTGGGAGGCTGAGGCAGGAGGATCATCGCGAGTTCAAGACCAGCCTGGGCTACAGAGTGAGCTCAAGGCCAGCCTGAACTGCATAGCAAGACCTTGCCTCAAAAAGTCCAAAAAAAAATTCTCTGTATTTTTATTACACCTCATAATATATTGTTGTTGAGTTAGCTCAAGGCCAGCCTGAACTGCATTGCAACACCCTGTCTCAAAAAGACCAAAAAAAAAAACCCCAAAAAAATAATATATTGTTGTTGTTCTCATATCCCTCCCCAGTACGTGCACATTCCAACCTCTACTCCCCACCTCCAGTGCTAAGCTCCCTCCCACATGCTTCAGCCCTTGCTGCATTACAGCAACAGCATCCTGACTTTTCTCTCTGCTTCTTCCCTTGTCCCCCACCCCAGTCTTTCTCAACAGAGTAGCGAGTGTGATTCTGTTAAGCATAAGTCAGTAACAGAAAAACAATGGAGAAGCCAGGTATGGTAGCAAATTCCTGTAATCCCAGCACTCTGAGATTACCAGGCTCAGGCAGGAGGATAGAAAACACAAGCCTAGCTGGGGGTGGTGGCGCATGCCTGTAATCCCAGCACTCGGGAGGCTGAGGCAGGAGGATCATCACGAGTTCCAGACCAGCCTGGGCTACAAAGTGAGCTCAAGGCCAGCCTGAACTACATAGCGAGACCCCGTCCCAAAAAGACAAAAAAAAAAAAGAAAACTCAAGCCTAGCCCGGGCAACTTAGCAATTAAGTAAGACCCAGTCCCAAAATAAAATATAAAAAAAGGGTTGGGAATGTAGCTCAGTGTTAATGTCCTGGGTTCAATCCCCAGTACTGGACAGAAAGAGAGGAGAGAGACAAAGAGAGAGACAGGCAGAGACAGAGAGACACAGCGAGGTCAATGAAACCAAAAGTTGATAAATTGGTTCATTGAAAAGATCAGTACAGTTGGTGAACGTTTAATTAAACTGACGAGAAAAAAAGGAGAGAAGAATCAAATTACTAAAATTAAGAATGAAAGAAGGGACATTATTACCTACATTATAAAAACCAAAAGGATTATTATAAATAACTGTGTGCCAAGAAATTATATTAATCCAGATTAAATGTACAAATTGTTAGAAAACACAAACTACTGATATTGACTCAAGAAAAACAGAAATTCTGACTTGACCTATAATAAGTAAATAGTGAGTTCATAATCACAAAACTTCCCCCAAACAAAAGCTTAGAACCAGATGGCTTCACGGATGAATTCTACCAAATGTTTAAAGATGAATTAACACAAATCCTCCATAAACTCATCCAAAAATCAAAAAAAGAAAGGAAAACTTGCCAACTGACTGTGAGGCCGTTGCCCTGATACCAAAACCAAAGACCCCACAAGAAAACAGATGCAAATCTAGATCTATGGCTGTGTCTATATCTAGCTCCTAATTTCCTCAATATTCCCTTGTGAATGTAGATGCAAAAATCCTCCACAAAATACCACCAAGCCAAATCCAGCCACACATCAAAATTAACACATATACCATGACCAAGGAGGAATAGCTCCAGAATGCAAGGTTGATTAAGCATCTATCAGTCACAACACAGTATAGTAATAGATTGAAAGACCAACACATGATCGTCTCAACAGGTGCGGAAGACAAAAGCCACACCTCCAGCTTTTAGCACAAAATCCAGCCTCAGCCTCAGTAAAAGCCAGTTCCACCCAAAGTCCACAAGCCTCTGTGTGACCTGGCCACCATCACCCCCTCTGTCCTCACCTCCCTTTTTCATTCTCTCTCTCCACACTAACCCCACAGCCTCCTTGCTATTCCTCACACCCCCAGACACATTTCTGACTCAGGGCTTTACAGTTCCCTCTTCCTGGAACACTGTTCCCCAAGTATCCACATAACTCACTCCTTCACCTTTTGCAGGTCTTCACTCGGTGTTGTGCCTGCGAGGCTGGAGATGCAGCTCAGTGGTGAGGAACTTGCCTAGCATGTAAAAGGCCCTGTGTCTGATCTCCAGTAATGCAAAAGTAATAGCAAGAAAGCTGGGCATGGTGATGCACACCTGTAATCCCAGCACTTGGGAGGCTGAGGAGAAAGGACAGCCATGAGTTTGAGGCCAGCCTGGGCTACACAGTGAGTTCAAGGCCAGCCTAAATTGCATAATAAGACCCTGTCTCAAAACCAATAATAATAATCATAATAGTTGCCAGGCGTGGTGGCGCACGCCTATAATCCCAGCACTCAGGAGGCTGAGGCAGGAGGATCTTTGTGAGTTCGAGACCAGCCAGGGCTACAAAGTGAGCTCAAAGCCAGCCTAAACTGCATAGCGAGACCCTGTCTCAAAAAGACCAAATAATCATAATAGTCACCTCCTCAGTGAGCCCTCTCTGGTCACACTATATAAAATTGCAGCCCTCTCCCTCTAACACTCACATACTCCCTATTTCCCTTCCGCACCCTACTTTTCTGCTAAGCACTTATTTTCTGAAATACTGTGAACTTTACTTACATATCTTGCTTGTCTATCTCCCAAAGTAGAAGGAAGTTCCCTAAGGACGGAGATATTTTGGACTATTTTATTCACTGCTACATCTGCAGCATTAAAACTGACATGCCACTGACTCAACTCTCAGTGTCTGTTGAGTGAATAAATGAATACAAATAGCTTGTCATTTGACTTCACTCAACAAGCAGCACTTCCCCCACCCACCCCCATGTGCCTGACGAGTGCTGAGAAAGGCAGGAACCAGGCAGGGGCTAGGAGAGGGCTCAGAGCCCAATAACCCACGGGGCACAACGGCAGGAGCACTCAGGGGGCGCAGAGGGCCAGGCCGGCAAGCAGGGACAGTGTCAAGCAGGCCCTCGAAGCCCAGCATGATCAGGGCATCTGGCAAAAGGAGGGGGTTGGGGGAGGGGGGTGGGGGCAGCGTTGGTCCAGTCTAGCTGGCAACGGGCACGGCTCTGCATGGGGGACTGCCCAGAGAGAGAGAGGGCAGTCGGGTTGTCGGGGCAGTTCAGGAGGGGCTTTGAATGCCAGGACGAAGAGTTGGACCTCAATCCAGAGGCACTAGGGAGCCACGCAAGGCTTTTGAGCAAAGGAGGTTCTTGGTGTCAGAAAGTTCACCTTGACCGTGTAGGGAGAGCCAGCATGGCAGGGGAGCAGGAAGGCAAGGGGACCAGGAAGGGAGCTTCAGGACAGGCTGGAGAAAGACAAGCATGAGCCAGGGGGAGCGGGGAGGGGGCAGGCAGGAGAGGGTAAAGCCTGTGTAGGGGACGGCTGGAGCAGAAGAGGGCCGCAGCCTGGATCTCAAGCCAGCACACCTGAGAGCACCACAGAGGCGCAGAGGTGAGGAGGTGAAGGCCGGCGTTCTGGCTGTGGGTTTGGCGCTGCTGGATACCCCGCAGGCAGCACCTTCCCAGGCTGGGAGACAGGCACCTCCTGGCCCAGCCACCTCCTGCACTCAGCCCCAGACACGGGCAGGCCCGGAGAGGCGTTTCTCCAGCCGGCGTTGGTGGCCAAGACGCAATGTCATTTCTAGATCTGGAAATGTGCCAGACTGCAGGGTGGGGGACAGCTGTGTCCCCGAAACACAGCCAAAAAGCAGCTTCTCAGAGCCAACCAAGACAGTGGCAGAAGTAGGGCTGGCAGGGGGTCCACACCCCAGCTGGCTGGTGGGGGTAGCAGGCCTTTAACGGGGCCTCCATCTGCCTGGGCCTCAGTCTCCTGGAAGGCGGGACCCCTCAGCCCTCACCAGCTCCCACCAGCCAGAAAACACAGAGTCCTGTCACCCACCCGCCCCAGTCAATGAGCTGAAGGCGTTGATCAGTGCCACTGCGCGGCAGGCTGTTTCCCACCCAGGTGACAAGGGTCAGTGCTACGGGAAGGACTGGGTGTCCTTGGGCCTAGGTGGAATTTTCTCTGTCCCACTGCTTGTCCGTTGCTTTCTCTGGGCCTTAGTGCTCCTATCTGACAAGTGGGAGGAGGAAAACCTTCCTATGACAGTGGTACCCATGACAGGCCTCTTCTGCCTCCAGGATGCCCAGCAAAGCCCAAGGCCACGAACAGTTCATGGAAGGGGTACCACCCCGCACAGAGGAGGCTCCAAAGCATGGAGAGACATTCCTTTTGTATTTTTGAGACAGCATCTTTCTAAGTCACTAAGTTGCCCAGGCAACTTAAATTTGCAATCCTCCTGTCTCAGCCACCCAGCGTGCACCACCACACCCAGCCAAGAAGCCCTTCCTTAAACTGAGTGAGGGGCTTCAAGCACCCTCTTCCCCAGCGAGGACACTGCTTGCCAGGCAGGAAACCAACCTTTTTCCTGGCAAACACCTGGGGCCACAGGAGAAGCACCATCATTTCTTCTGTGCACTCGACACTGGTCACACGGCACCTGGGACCCGGGGAGCACGGACCCTGGGGACGTAGGAACGCAGGGCACCGGATGGGGCCGTGTGCAGGGGTGGGGGGAGGGGAGAGGGCAGCGGTGGGCGTGGCTGCCCTTCCTAAGCTTATCCCAGGGGTAAATGAACAGAGTGGAGAGAGACACGATGGTAGAAGGGGCCCCGCCTGACTGCCCACAGAGGCAAAGGCATCCAACTGCCAGGTTAGAGGCCCCCAAAACACACCAGTGTCCCCAAGACCAGCGTCTGGCCATGGAGGGCACTGGCAGTCAGCAACAACGACTCCAGAGCTAGGGCAGGCTTGGCCTTTTCCAGCCACCTTCCCGACCATTCGGCTCTGCAGGCACCAGGATCGCAGTGGGCCAGGCGACCGGTGCTTCAGCGACAAGGCCCAGGAGACGGAGCAAGGAGTCTGGAGCAGGCAACAGCTTGCCCTCTTCCCAGGGCAATTTTCTGGGCCTGAGCGGCAGCTTTATTCAGAAGCAGAGCCAAACTTGTGATTGAAATGAGACCAGACTCTCTCGCCCGCAAGTGTGACTAGAAAGGCCACCAGACCCGGTCATGGGTGGGAGACCCACTGCACTGGTGGGAGAACAAAGTCGGCGTCAGTTTGCATTCCAAGTCCGGCCTCCCCTCACCCCCCGCCAGAGACAGAGCCCAGGGCCGTGGAACTGGAGGAAGGGAGGGAAGCTCCAACCCACCTGCTTGCGGCTGAGCTTCCCAGAAGCAGCAGCTCACTCCCACGTAGGGAGCCAGGGACGCTGCCGTGCACAGCGACACTCGGGATCTGGTCCCTATCTTTTGGGCTCCCTGTCTGCAGCCAGCCCCATACACCCGGGTGCTGGATGGAGTCCAAACTCGGGCTGAGCTCAACAGGAACTGTGAGCTCAGGGCAGTCTGCGGAGGTCTCTGGAGAAAGCCTCTGAGTGGGGTCTTACAGAAAGAGAAGGATTTTGGGGGCGCACAGAAGAGGGGACGGTGCCCTTAGTGGAGGGATCAGATACCAGCAAAGGCTGGGAGGTACCAGTGCCGATGTCCCTGGGACAGCCAGCACGTGAGCCGCCTGGACGAATGAGATGGGAGAGGGATTTGGGAAACTTGCTGTTATCATGACTGTCGCCCTTCAAGCAGGGCCAGTAAGGCTGTGGTCTCCTCACCGCACCCTGGGAGAATCGCCCAGTCTCCTTGGGCTCACACATGCATCCCATTATCTCAAATCAGAGACTTAAACAGGAGCTTGAGGGACACACTGTACTGCCGGAAAGGCTTAGCTTCAAGCTCTAGGTCTGTCCTTTCTAGATGCACAGCTCTGAGTAAGCCTCTGTTTACTCATCTGTGAAATGGGGGTTAACGAGACCCCAGAAGGCACAATCACCATACCGGACACACAGACCTGGCACAGTGTGCGCCTGTATCAACGGGGTCCCCCACCTACCTCCAAAGGGGCCCTCACTTACATAAGAGGCCACGAGGGTGGTCGGGGCCAGGACGAGAGCCAGGTAGAGGCAGGGAGCGGTGGCTAGCAGGCTGGAAGCACAGATGAGGGGCTCAGCCCGGGGGTTGACCTTCTTGTACCTCCTGGCAGCCTCTGCTCCCAGGATGACACCGACGATGCCAGTCACAACAGTCAGCGCCCCAAAGATCAGGCTGGTGGAAGAGAGCAGAGGGGGCTTGGTCAGCCCATCTTCCAGCTGCTCATCCCAGGTCATCGACAGGCCCAGGGGTATAATCCGGCACCCGCAGGGATGTGGCTGTGGGCCCCTAACTAGATCTCACCCCAGCTGACACTCCTGAGGCCTCCGGAACGTGATCAGATACCCATACACTCCCTGCCTCCCCATCCCCTTTCCTCACCACTCTGGGGGTGCCACTGGACACGTGGGCCCCAACCTTCTCTTTTAAGCGGACACTTGCGTGCTGAGCTCCTACGACATACCCCGTCCTTGTCTGGCTGCATGTGCACCTCTCCCAGAAGCCTGTCCTTCCACTCCCTCCCAAGCAGCCCCTCCTGAGGGCCCTACCTTTCTCAGCTCAGAGGCACAGCTGAGACCACGACACGGTGAGCTCTTAGAAACCAAAGGCAACCGGGGTCTTCCCCGCCCCTCTGGGGCACCCTATTGTCCTCCACACAAGCGCATGGCCCCTGCTGACCTGTGCGGCTGCCCCTCTCCACCCTCCCCAGCCTGCGACACCACTGAGAACTCGCCAAAGCCGTCCTGTGCTTTTCTGGCTTCCCTGGCCCGGCCCACCCTGTTCCCCCGGCCTGGAGCTCCATGCTCCCCCAACACACACACCCCCGACCGTTCTCCCCCTGACCACATCCCCTCAAACAAGGCCAGAACCACGTGGGACAGCTGAAGCCCTACTGCCACTCCAAATTTCCCACCAGCATGTAGGAATGTGATTGGTGCAAGATGTGACCGTCAAACTGAGTGCCATGAAAACCACCTCCTGTAGCTCTAGGATCTTCTGAGAAATGTCCAACCCACAGGCTGACATCTGATGAGCCCATCCCCCATCCCCTCCGTGTACAGAAGAGAGGGTGGAGCCCAGAGAGTGCCAGAACTTGCCTGAGGTCACAGAGGCCCTGGCAAATGGCTATCCCAGCTCCACTCACACACCCTCAGGAACGGGACGCACGACTTCCCGTGCAGCTCCTCTGCTGGGCCACTTTAGTTCTGAGAGCTGGAGGTTCTCCCTGTGGCTGCCAAGAACCTTGTGTCCTATAGCTTCCTGCCCTGGCCCCACCCATGCCCTGGGCCTGTCCTAATCACGAAAGGAGTATCAGGTCTGTGCAGAATTCCAGCTTGAAGTCCTTCTGCCACTCTGTGAATGACTGCATCTCAAGATGTCCTAATCTCAAAGATTTTCTATGGAAAAAGATGTGATTCAATTAAAGCTCTTGACACAGAATGATTATCCTGAGTGCAAACACACCTGTGCTCATTAGAGGGCAGCAGAGACTTAAGCCAGAAAAGGGGACTAGACCAGGGAAGCAAGAGAGTGGAGTGATGTGGCCACAAGCCATGGAGTGCCTGCAGCCACCAGGAGTTGGAAAAGATGAGAAGCTGATTCTCCCACAGAGCCTTCAGGAATGTGGCCCTGCTGACACCATGATTCAGTTCCACTAAAACCTCCAAACTTATAAGAAAAAAACATTCTGTTGTTTTAAACTACCAAGTTTGTAGCAAGTCAGTACACCAGTCATGACAAGCTAAACCCACAGCCTCAGTTCATCACACTGATCTGTGCAGGGACTGAGTGATAGGCTGAGAAAAGGGAGGGACTTGACAAGAATGCACAGTTGCTGATGCCGGAAGTGGAGCTGAGCCCTCTTTCTTCCCCACCTTTTCCAGTTGGTGTAGGGTTTCGAGGACTCAGTGCACCTTTGCCTCCAGAGAGAGAACCATGCAGTTGTAGAGGCAAGCAAACACCGCAGTCTCATTCCATGTGTTTGTTCGCAAGCTTTCCCTGAGCACCTACTGTGTGCCAGAGAGCCCCTGCCAGCTGGTGGGGCAGTGTCCAAGTCAATTAACAGCAGCGGGCAGTCTCCAGAGGCAAGAGGAGGTGGGGCTTCTGAGCAGCAGCTTTGAGGCTACACGGGTTTGAATCATGGCTCTCTCACTCGTTAGCGGCATGGCCTGGGGCAAGTCACTCGACTTCTCTGATCTTCCATCTCCTTGTTTGTAACACAGGGATCAGAGGAAAGCCTCCCTCTGAGGGCTTTTTGGGTGAAATGCCAGGCACGGAGCCTGAACTGAAGTGACAGATAAGTGAGGATGAGATAAGCAAAGGGATCTAGGGGCAGAGAACGCAACTGGAGCAGAGGCGCAGACAAGTAAGAAGCCATGGACATTCTGGAAACTGCGCAGAGCTCTCTCCAGGTGTGAGGGAGGGAGGCAGAGACAAGAAGGGAGGCTGGGGACGAGGAGGAGGTGGATTGGTGTGGTCAGCAGAAAGTCATGTCACCTGCTGAGGCCCCTGGGGCTCCCGGGAAGGGCACGGACCCCTAAGGAGCTCCAAGCACCCAGCAGGGCAGGATCAAGGTAGACAAGGGGACACAGACCATGGAAAAGTACCAAGCAGAGACGACAGACTAGGACCAAAGTCTTCAAGGAGGTGGGGAGACAAGTGAGATGGTGAATGATGGCCTCCACTCAGTGTCAGGAGCTCCGGAGTCTCTGGAGCAGGGGAGCAGGGGGTCAGATGTGGCGGAGACAGAGGAAGAGCCCAGCACAGCAGAAGGAATGCAGGGTGGACCTGGGGTGGGAATCCCCTGAGGGCAGAGGGCCACCTTCCACCTCCCAGCAGCTTTTCTTGGGCTCTTAGAGAACCAGTGAACACATCTATGAAAGCCCTAAGCCGGAGACACAGAAAGGCCCCAGTGCCTCAGTCTGCAGGCTGAAAATGGAGCCACCTCTCAGAAGGCATGAGGAGCTCCTCCAAAGGAAAAAATGGTTACCTAAGACTCCTATCATCTCCCAAGACCCACAGAAGGCCTCCTTCCCTGGCAGAGCCCTCTGGACCCCCACAGCAGTCCCTATAGTGAGAAGACTGGGACTTCGCCTAGAGAGCACAAGACAGCTGCCTATGGTCACATAGTGTGGCAGGGCCCAGCCAGAGTGAGGACCCAGGCCTCCTGCCTGCCAACCGCGTCCCTAGCCCTGTGGCCGCCACACCACACCGCATGTCCACAAAGACAGAGCTTGAGCCCCACAGCCTCCTGAGAACTTGTGCCCAGAGTCCCCCACTGCCCTCCCTACCTGTCCCAGCTGCTGCACGGCTCCTGGAAGCAGGGCAGCTGCAGCCCGTGTACCACACGGGCCTCAAACAGAAACTTGGGGGCCCAGAAGCCCAGCGCTCCGGTCACAAAAGCCATGGCTGTCACTCCAAGGGTCGACCACACAAAACTCCAGCTGCAAGAGAAAGAGCCCTGGCTGGAGCGGAGAGAGGACTATGGCTGAAGGGGTTGGCACATTACCCCCACCCAACCACATAGGCAAGCTCCAGCCTCTGGGTCCTTCAAAAAGCATGGAGCACCCTAGCCTCCCTGACATCCCAAGACATCACCCATAGCCCAGTCCCCCTCCTGCTCACACTGTGCCTCCCCCGCCCTCGCAGGACCACATCTCCCCTCCTGGGAGGCCCCAACCCAACATCGTAGTCTCTGGGAAGCTGCTCCTGCCTGCCCCCATTGTCTTCAGAGTCCCCTGAACTGGTCTCATGGCTCTGGGACAAGAGAGATAGGTATTGTCATGTGCCACTCTGCAAGGAACCCCGAGGCCTGGGACTGCAGTTGCTCCTGCATGGCTCCCCGTTGTGCCTGGGACAGAGGCCAACGCACTCCAGTGAAGCTGGGAGAGGTGAGCCTTGAGCTCCCGGCATCCTCCCATCAGCCCAGAGAAGCAGGCAAGATGGGAAACTGTCCATTAGATAGATGAGGAAAGCAGGGCTCCAAGTCGTGGGGCCACTTCAGGGGGTGGCAGAGGCAGGGCTGGAGGTCCTGCCACTTGCTCCCCTCCCCCCAACCAGCCCACACTTCTGTCACATAGGGACAGGTTGGGGGCTGAGTCCCAGGTGGCAGAGGGGTATCTCAGTGGGTCAGGGGAGCTCAGAAAAAGAAAAGGGATGTGAATGTGCAGAAACCAGGGAGGGCTTCGGGAGGCAGAGGGAGTCAGGGCTGCTGGCGCTAGTGGGGGTTTTCTATGGCTTGCAGCAGGGAGCAGGGGCACTCACTTTCTCCCCAGGTACCTGACGTCCTCACACCAGCTGCTCCTCAGAGGCCGCATGGCCGCCTCCCCCTGCTTCTCCGCAGCTCCTCGGGGTGGGTCTGGGACCAGCAGGATGAGCAGGATCAAGGCCACGGCCTCCAGGCAGGGCATGATCTGGGGACAGGAGGGCTCAAGGTCATGGGCAGCTGTGGCCCAGGCCCTGGGCCCTAGGCACTGCTTATGATTAGACTGGACAGAGTCCTGTTCCCTGCACCTTTACGCCTGCAGGTACAGCCTTGCTAGGAGTGGGTGCCCGCATCCGTGGAGATGCTACTCTGCTGAGAGCAGCGGAACTGAGATGGCTGAAAACAGGAATTCTGACCACCGGGTGCTCACCGCCACAAGAATTAGCCTGCCCTTCTCCTGGCCACACCATCTGCCACACCAGAGCCCCCCTAGCATCCTCTCCTGGCTGCTCCCCAGACCACAATGCAAGGATGGGGATCTCGCTACCTGCCTTGGGGCAGCCTTGAAACAGCTGGGACCATGAGAAAGCTCTGTCAAGCCAACTGAGATTGACTTTTTTTTTTTTTTGAGACAGTCCCAGGCTGGCCTCGAACTCACTATGTAGCCCACGCTGGCCTCCAACTCAGTGATCCTACTGCCTCAGCCTCCCAAGTCCTGGGATTACAAGCATGCACCATCACACCTGACCAGAATGACCCTCTTGAAATCCAACCCACCTCAGGGCCCTGATCCTGCCTTCTGTGGTCTCACATGCCAGCTCCCTCAGCATCTGGACAGCTCAGCAGAGATCTGTACAATGACAGAACCCCCAGCCCCTCTGCCACCAAGTCCCTTCCTCTCCTGAGTGGCCCACATCCCTGTCCGAGACTGAGCTGATGCTGCAGCCCAGCAGGTATCTTCCCAGGTGTCTTGGCTCCACTGCATAACCCCCTCTGCCAGTCCTAGAAAGCTTACCCAGTGCCTGACCCTGGAGTAGGAACTTTCCAGTGCTTATCTCAACAATGTTCAAGATGCCACAGGTAGCATTTACTACCCTCACTTCACAGATAGCTATGAAGCTACTTCATAAGCCTAGCTCCAAAGAGGGATGCAGCTCACTTGAGGTCACACAGCCCCTAAACTCAGCAGCTGAGATTTGAACCCGAGGTCACTACTTCCATAGGCTATGTTCCATCTGAGGCCCCAGATGTCCAAAGCTGCAGACCTCTGACACCCCCATGGCGCCGGGTACCAAGCCAAGGGGCTAAGGCCACTGGAGGCTGGAAAGTCCCGGCCGGCCCAGGGGGAAGCAGAGGGAAGAGAGGGAAGCCAGACTCACTCGGAGGGCCCAGCGCCAGCTCCCCGTCAGCTTCGTCACAGCAGACCCCAGCACATAGCCCAGACCACTGTAACAGAGAGGCAAGGAAGGTAAGCAGCGTGGCAAGGGTGCCCCTGCGCGGGTCCAGCTCTCTGCAGGACCAGAGCCCTTTCCCTGAGAAAAATGAGCCGCGTGAGGCCCAGATGTCCACTGCCCTTGGTCAGCTCACCAGTGACCTCTGGCTTCTGCCCCCTACAGTGCCACTCTCTCCCCAGATGAGGACAAACACACGCCACCAACAGCCCCAGCCCTGACGGCCAAAGCTCAGCCCTGTTTCAGTCAGGCCAGGTCAGGAAACCCGGGTCAGAGCTCAGGAGCCTGCCTGTAAACCCCTCTCTGTCTTTCCTGCTGGGTGTGTAGGGCGCAGCCTGATGCACTTCCTGCCTCCCCTCTGGGGCCAGCTCCTCTCTGAGCCGGCCACACAGGCTTCCCTCACCCCCCTCGGAGGAGGGGGCACATACTCTCCTGCGGGGAGCATCCTCATTGTCTCTAATCCTCACCACAGCCCCATCCCGAGCCCGCCTGTCCCCATCAGCAGCTGAGCAAACTGAGGCTCAGAGGGGGAAAGTGACACGAGAAGGAAAGGCAGTGCCGGGATGCAGATCCCAGACTTCCGCGTCTGACCTCTCCCGCCCAGCCCAGTTTACCGGGGGAGGTGGACCCGGCAGGGACACCAACCTTCCGACAGGAATGAAGATATAGAAGACGGCCAGCACTCGGGTCCGCTGGTCCTTCACGAAGAGGTCGGCCAGGACTGTGGGCGCAATGGTGGAGTAGCTGGCTGTGCCCGTACCCACGACTCCCCGGGACAGGAAGAAGAGCCAGGAATACTGGGCAAGATGGGCACAAGATCACAGTGAATTCCAGAAATCAGCCATGGGGGAAGAGACCCGAGAAAGTACCAGAGGGGCCAAAAGGACTTCAGAACATAGGCTCCCCGGGGGAAGGGGAGGGGGCCAGGGCTGCAGATACTTGCCCCCCAGGCCCCCCTCTCCAGATTCCCAGAATCACACAGGTGCCCCCTGCTGGTGCCTGTGGCCACCACCCTCTCCACACCCAGGGGAGCCCTTTTTCTTGACTCTCTTGTCTAACCAGGCCAGTTTCCCAGGGCAGGAGCTGGTACTCACAGCCCTACCCCACCCCCAGCAGCAGCGCCAGGTGAAACTGAAGCCAAGGGCAACCACGGGTATGCAAGAGAGGAAACCTCCAGTTAGGAAAGGCTAACGGGCAGATGGGGGGGCTCGGGCCTGGAGCTGCGCCTGCCCTTGGCAATGCAGTGTCTGAGTCAGCCTGGGCCAGAGAAAGAGCAGAACTACCCCCATCAGCTGCGAGGGCGCAGATCAGCGAGAAGGCCCAGGTGCTGGTCAGGATGTGGGCACCTACCTGAGGGGAGATGAAGGAGCCAGACAGGCCGGCCCCTGACCAGAGCAGAATGCCGAGGCTCAGCGTGGCCTTGCGACTGTGACGGTCACCCAGGTAGCCAAACACAGGTGCAGACAGCAGCAGGCAGCCAATGAAGACTGGAGGAGACACACAGGGGCAGCCTGGATCCCCCCATGACAATGGGCGGGCAGACAGCCCTGCAAACCCGGGGGAGGGAACTGGCTTAGATGCCACAAACTGGCATCCTGGCGGTGGACCCAGGGCATGAGGAGGAAAAGATAAGATGAATGTCACAATCCTCGACCAACAGGCAACTCATAGCCGACAGTGTGCAGCGCCATCTGGCCTGGGCCAAATCCCAGCTCTGCCTCTGCTCGCTGTGAGGCCTCTCTGAGCATCACCCCAACGCGGGAGAGGCCGACACCTTCTCCCCAGCCGTGTAAAGGGGAGATGAGAGGTGGCCATGGGGCACCAGGTAGAGAGGCTGCCGGTTTCCTGTCTTTACAAGCACATGTGGCCCTCGGGAGCCTGACTTGGGGACTGATCTGACTGCAGCTGGCAGGAGGCAGGGAGGTAGGGCTGGGGCCTGCTTCCACCGGCAGAGGAGGACGGCTTAGAATTAGCACTGCCAGCAAACCAGAGATGATCCCAGGAGGCTGGGAAGGAGCTGGGTTTTGTAAGTAGGTACATTATCCCCCAGACACTGACAGTCGCATCTATGCCACTTATTAGAATAAGCTCTTACTAACATCGGCGACTGAATCAACGAGTACTGTCTGCTAGTCTGTGACGACAAGGAAACCGGGTACATGCCACACGGATAAGTGCACACCCGACTTCTGTGCTTTCAACAAACTCTCCTACCCTTGAGGGGCACGGTGAGTCCCTGCCCCCAAGCTGGGAGAACAGAGTGGAGGAGAAAGTCACGTCTGGACCCTCCTCCCCACCCCCAAGAGCGGTAGGCTTTGGGGAGTCCCGTCCAGCCCCGGGTCTCCAGTCCCTGAGCACAGATGATTGACATTTCCTGAGTCAAATGAATGTCCAGATTCTTCCCAGGTCAGGTTCCAGCCCGCCCCCTCCCATGACCCGCTCTGGTGCTGGTTTAAGCCATAAGCAATTGTGGAAATGAGGCCAGTTTTGACCTACAAAAGCAGCAATTTAATATGGCTTAACCTAGTATTCTACAGAGAGTGATCTTTGGTGTCAATGGCGTTTAAAATTTTAATAGCTACTGTCAAAATAGGACCCCAAGAAGGCTGTGTCAGTTTACACACGATAGAAGTTTATTCTGGCACCCTCGCTGACACTTAATACGACCAATCATCTTATTTTTTGTTCACCTAATGAAAAACAAATGGTATCTCGCTGATTTTTTTAATCAGCATTGTCCTTATTCATAGTAAGACAGGGGAACAGTTCCTACGTTGGTATCCTTTGCCCATTTTTCTACTGAGCTGTTGTTTGCTCTTAATGTATTTTAGGAGTAATTTCTCCCAGGTGTGCCCTGCCACACACACACATGCTGTGGTCCTGGGAATTGAACCCCAGGGCCTTTGCACTGAACTACATCCCCAACCTATTTATTTATTTATCTTTAAATTCAAAGTTCTAGGCTGGGCATGGTGGCACTTGCCTATAGTCCCACAGGTCATGAGTTTGAGACCAACTTGGGCAAATTAACAGACCACATCTAAAAAAAAAAAAAAATTTAAGTTCGAGGACTACACCATTTGCGTTCAAATTCTTGTCCACCACTTTCTAGCTATTGTGATCTTGGCAAATTCCTGAACCCTGTTCCCCTTCACCAACTACACAACAGTAATAGTAATAGTATTTCCTCTATAAGATTATTAGAGGAGTAGATAAAATGTGTAAAAGATATCTGAATGGCTGCGTGTAAATGCCCAGTAAGTGTTATCTGTTATTAATACCATTTCCACAGCTTTAATCAGCATCATGCAGAAATGTTTCACTGTGATGCAGAGAAATTTCTCAGCCTTGTTCTGGCGGGGGAGGATTTATTTACCAAATAAACTTTACCGAAAGTTTATAAAAATATTTCCCCAAATCTTTCCAGTTTTCCTGGGGTTTTGGGTGGGGATCATTTGCAGGACCTAACTGCCTTAAATCTGCAGGTGAGCTGGTCATATGCGGGTGGCCCTCTCCAGGGAAAGGCAGGCTCTCCTCATTCCTGGCATCTGCAGATTCAAACCATTGTTATGACAGGAGAAAGGAATTAATGATCATACAGTTAGGAGATGGACTGTACTTGAAGGTTTCCAGGATTTGAATCCCAGCTTTAGCAAGACTCAGAACTTCTCAGAACCTCAGTTTGATCATCTGTAAAATGGGAATCATCATCATCATACCAGCCTCATGGGGTTATGGTGAAAATTAAATTAGTTTAAAGCACTTAGAATAGTGCCTGGAATATGTTAAGGGCCAGGTCAGTGCTGTTTTGTTTTATTTTGTTTGCAGTACCCAAGATTGAACCCAGGACCTTAGCACTGAACTACATCTCCTGCCCTTTTTTATGTTTTATTTTGTGTCAGGATCTCACTGAGCTGCCCAAGCCGGGCTTGAACTTGTGATCCTCACGCTGAGCCTCCCAGAGTGCTGGGTTAACAGGCACACACCACCACATCTGGCCTAATCAGCTCCAGCAGTTTCTCTGTCCTGTGGGCTGTGGAGGGGACCTGACCACTGCCTCGCCCATCTCCCACTCCTCCCATAGCTCCACCAAGCTCGCTCTGGGCCAGCAGCTTCACTTTCTCTGCAGTTCTGAGGTCAGACAGAAATATGGGTCTTAAGGTCACTGCACCATGACCCTAGCAGGTGAAGACACTTAGCTGAAGCTGCCATAGACGAACCTGATCATCAGGCCTCCGACTCAACGCCTTTTCCACACACCTACTTGTGCTGCTTCAGCAAAGATGGCTCTTACCCCATCTAACACACACACACACACACACACACACACACACACACACACACCCCTTCTCCCTCCACGGCACCTCACTTATCAGAGGCCTGTAGAAATAACCCGGATCCCCACAGTAAGAACCAGCAGAGGGAAATGTTGACTCAATTACCAACATGACTATCATTATCTGTTGAAAAACAGAAATTACTTCCTAAATACATTCAGGGCAAACAACAGCTCAGTAGAAAAATGGGCAAAGTAGAAAAACTGGCAAATGACTGCCGTTATCTGCTGAATCAAGAGGTTTGTGCGTGTCGAGCTCGGATGGTCTCACTTTGGTTATAAATATGAGTCGATGGCAGCCTCTGCCCGCCAGCCCTGAGAGGAAGGGGCAATTGGAAAGGATCCCTGCTCTACGGTGTGGTCTCACAGGGCTCAGAGAAGTTTATAGAATGACACACTTCTTCACATGCTTTCAGCTGACACTGAAAATATTTTTCATCGAAAGTTTAAGTAGTTGCAAAGGATGCCATTCCCGGCATTTTTGTTTACAGCTGGGCCCCACATCCTCCCATTCTACCAACTGCAGATCAAAAATAATAGGGGAAAAAAACTATGTCTACGTGGAACATGTGCAGATTTTTTTCTTGGTCATAATTCCCTAGGTGATTAAATATAACAATTTACATTGTATCAATTTACACTGAGTAACATTTACATTGTATAAGTAACCCGGAGATGATTTAAAGTTTGCAGGATAATGCATAGGTTCTATGCAAATACCACCCCGTTTATAGAAGGGACTTGAGCATCTGAGGATTTTAGTTTCCACAAGGGTACTAGACCCCGTTCCCTGTGGGTGCTGAGGGGCAACTCTATTTGTAAACTACATTTTTATCCAAGCCCTTAAGCTACAGATCGAGTTCCGTCAGTGTCTTGGAACCGTCTGCCATTGTGTCCAAGTGGTAGAGCCAGCCCTCCTTTGACAAACCAAGCTGACAAATCAGGCTGAGAAAAAAGTTGATCTCATCTTTAAAATCGAAATAAATGTGCTGACACCCATCCCGAGACCGCTATCTCAGTGTTGAACTCTAAATCCTAGATAAATAGCAGACAGTCACGCACGGAGGGCAGCTACGAAGATAAGGTCTGGCGGAAAGGCCGCCGGCACCCTTCTGCTGAGGTTTCTGCTCTGCTCCTGCCCTCCCTGCAGAAGCTGTGCCTCGCTGTTCCTCTATGTGGCACCCCGGACTTTGCATGCCCTGCAGCAGTGCATCCTGGATGAGCCGCCTGTCAGCTCCCCATGGCAGACAGAAAGGAGACCCCCAGGCCCACCTCAGGCCTGCTCTCAAGGAACAGACCTATAGGCTGAGGGATCTGGAGGTGGGTCTCTCAAAACTCTGTTTGCGCCACCTCTGAAATTCTTTGTGAGGCTCTTAAGGGGACTGTACTAGTTTGAGAGCCCTGTCCTAAGGCGTGAGGATAGAGGGCAGTTGAGAGGAGAGAACAGGACACAGGAAGAACCTGTCTCAAAAAGAAAAAACCAAGACAAGAAAATTTTTTTTAAAACAGGAGCAGCCAGGTGTGGTGGCACACACCTGTAATCCCAGCACTCGGGAAGCTGAGGCAGGAGGATTGTTGCAAGTTCGAGACCAGCCTGGTCTACAAAGTAAGCTCAAGGCCAGCCTGAACTGCAGAGTGAGACTCTGTCTCAAAAAGACAAAAAATAATAGTAATAATAAATCCCCAAACCTCAGTGAGTCCGGTGCACAGCTGAGCTTACAAACTTGTAGGAAGGGCTGGGGATTTAGCTCAGTGGCATGGCGCCTGTCTGGCAAGGATGAGGTCACAAGTTCAATTCCCAATGCCAAAAAAAAAAAAAAAAAAAAAAAAAAACAACTTGTAGGGTATGAGTGACAGCTCCATAGCCATGACTCAACGCTCCTCTTGCAGACCCAGCTCTCAGACTACGGGGGCTGCTCAAGCCTGGGCTCAACCCCTACTCTCTCCTCCTCCTTTGGGGTTTTCCTTCTGGCCCAGACCCATCCCTCCTCCATGGGCGGGTGGGACTCAGTGGGGTTGGAGCTGGGCACAAGAGCCCCTGGGAGACCTCACCCCAGTGTGAGACCAGGGCCCAGGCTCCAGGGCCAGAGACTTGCTCCTTACCTGTCTGAAGCAAACCGGCACTGCTGTCACTGATGCGAAAAACCTTCTGTATGTCCAACAGCACTCCTGAGGACAGGGGGACAGCATTACGGAAATGAGCAGCTTCCTCCGAGTTTGGGACAAGGCCATAGCTGTCCATCAGCCCACAGCATGAGGCAACAGGACCCACTCTTTCTTCCTCTCCCACGCGTTTTGTTTTGTTCTGTTTTGGTACCGGGAATCAAACTCACAACCTCACTCTTGCTAGGCAGGCGCTGTGTTGCTGAGCTACATCCCCGGCCCACTCCCACACGTTTGTACAGCCACATACAGACACGGAGCAGGCACGCAGAGGAAGAGCTGCACAGCAAGCACACACGGTAACAAGCGTGCCAGACATATGTACATACACACTGCATGCAAGCCTGCACCTGCACACAGGAGGATTCACGTACATAGGTACAAGCAGGTATTCCCGGAGAAACGCACTTGCAGGGACATGGGTACATATACATACACACACACACACACACACACACACACACACACAGGAGCTTACACGAGATGTACACATAAAGACACACCTCACGCACGCCTGCATATGCACACACTTAGAGCTGCCGTTCACACTGTAGTCCGAGTGGCTGGCAGTTCCCTGCTGCTGCGCTGTGACCTCTGTGTGAGTGGAACTCCAGAGTGTGCAACGTGGCAGCCGTGCTCATGCGTGAACACCAGAAATACATAGATACATACAAGTGCGTACATGCAAATTCACTTGTGCTTTGGTGTGCACACGAGTACACACCAGCATGTTCTTCCAGAGGCTTGGGCACACAGGTGACAGCATGCACACACACAGCTCCAAATATGTCGATCTACCCGGTTCCCCTCCCTGAGAGTGGCAGGTTCTGACTGTGCCCTAGCTAGGTCTCAGAAGTCCCTCCAAGACCTTCATTTTGCTTTTTTTTTTCTTTATTTTTGTTTTTTGAAACAGGTTTCACTATGTAGGTCAGCTGTCCTTGAAATCACTATATAGGCCAGGCTGGGCTCAAACTCGAAGCACTCTTCCTGCCTCAGCCTCCCAAGTGCTGGGATTACAGGCGTGCATCACCTGAGAGGAAGTGACCCCTCAGACACTGGGCTCTGTTCCCTGACATACCCTAAGCCTCTCAGTGATATCTGAGAAAAGGGAAGCTCTCTAGTCCCTGCTTATGTGAGCCGTGTGGCTCTGGTCCTGTCATTGTGAAGAATGTCTGAGTCAATTTTGTGTTGCTATCACCAAATACCCGAGGCTGGGAACCTTATAAAGAAAGGGTTTCTTTAGCTCACAGTTCTGGAAGTTCAGGAGCACGGCACAAGCATCTGCTCCACTCCAGTAAGGGCCCTGTGGCAGATGGCATCACATGGCAGGAGCACTTTGACAATGATGCACGGAATGTGCAAAAGAGGGATTCAGGGAAGGCACGAGGTTCATTCATAGCTGCGCATTCTCTCAGGAACTGATCCAGTTTCTCCAGACCTGAGCCACTCCCGTGAGACAGCGGTGATCCGTTCCTGGGGGTTCTGCCTCAACACTGCCACCCTGGGATCAAACTCCCGGAACAGGCATTTTTGGGGCACAAGCCACACACACAGCACAGCAAAGATCATCACCACTATCACTGAATCATGAGGCGGCTGAGGGCCAGGCCTGAGCCAGACATGTACAACTGTCACCCTAACAGGTGGCGACTATCACTGTCCCCATTATACAGATGAGGAGCTGGACTCCACCTGCTCATTGCAGGTCTGGAATGAGAGCTTGGCCCCAGCCTGGGGCAGCCTACTCTTCCTCCCAGCATCACAGGAGGGGAGCAGAGCCCCAGGAGGCCCCGCAGAAACACTGACGCCAAGACAGTCCCCCATCTACAGCTCCAACGCCTGCCGCAGGCACAGAAAGACCTGGGAAGCAAAGGCACAAAGTCAGGGAGCTTTATTTGGGCATATAATTTGGACCCAGTTGCTGCAGTATCCAGGTGTACAAACTGGGATGTCTATTTTCTCCCTGTATAATGACACGGAGAATACGTAGTCATTGGAGAGGAAAAAAATAGATGACACACAGTAAACAAAATAAACAGCCAACTAAAGAGCCTCTATAATTGCACCCGTCTTCCACTTTTAGGAGTAAGTTCCCTTGTTTTGTTTCCTCCCAGCCTAAGTGACCGCAAGGCCAGGAATGAGCTCAACCTCTTTCACCTGTGTCTACCACCAGCTCTCAAACGAGCTGTTTCCAACAAGAGAACATAAACTGCTACCCAGAACACCGGTCCGCAGCCGTCCTCAGCGGCTCAGTGTGGCTGTGCCCCTCTAAACCTCCGTCTCTATACTAACCATGGCTAAAGGAAGTGCCAGAGGGAAAGGGACCCCAACAGGCAAGGCTCAGGGTCTGGCGGCCCAGCCAGGAGCCCCAAGGCCCGCGGAGGGAGAACAGGCATCCCACCCGGCTGGCTCGGACAGCTGCAGACTGATGATGTCTGCTCCCCTGTGCCCCCGCATTCCCACCCCTGTGTGCCTTCGGCCAGCTCTCAGCCTTGGCCTGAAACCCCCTGCAGTAATCCGCAAACTGACCTTCTTGGCCCATTTTGCCTCAGTTCAGGGACTCAAATACTGTTATGTTCTCCCCACTTAAAAAATTGTCCTAGCCTGCCATGGTGGCACACGCCTGTGATCCCAGCACTCAGAAGGCTGAGGCAGGAGGATCGATTTGAGTTCAAGGTCACCCTGGGCTACACAGTGAGTTCAAGGTGAGCCTGAATTGCATAGCGAGACCCTGTCTCAGACAAAAAAAAAATTGTTCTACCCTTGCTTAGCTCACTCAAGGACATGGGTTCAATCCCCAGCAATGAAAAAATAATTTCCCATGGTTCTTTGGTGTCCAGGGCAGAAAGTCCAAGCTCCCAGGTTTGTACCGGGAGGCCCATGCTCTCATCCTAGTCGTCCTTTTAGGGATGACTTCCTGCACCCCCGCCTCTTGACATCCCTGATCAGCACATATACTTTCACACCACATCCTCTGGCTGAATGTCCTCCTCTCCCCCACTGCCTTTCTTCCCCGCCCCCTTGGTACTGGGTACTTTACCACAAAGCTACATCCCTAGCTCTCAACCCCAGCCCTTTGTTTTATTTTACTTTTGGATGGAAAGTCTTGCTAAGTTGCCCAGGCAAGACTTGAACTTGCAATGCTTCTGCCTCTGTCTCCCAGAGTGCTAGGATTACAACCATGGGCCACCTCGCCTGGTTCTTCTCAATCTTCCCAACCTTCAAGGTCCAAACCGAATGCCCCCTTATCTGTGAGTTCTGGATGACCCTAAGTCACTGGTCCTCAGGGCTGCCCACCAGTAGGCACGCACCCTGCTCTATCTTACAGTAGCAAGACTTGTTTAGGTCCCTTGTGTCCCTCTGAGCTCCTCAAAGACCAAGACCAGGTCTAATGAGGTTTGCAGCCATCCATTGCATGTCTCCGCCCTGGGGTCTGAGCTGCTAACTGCTGGCTCATCGCCCCAGCCTGGGGCTCCCTGGCCTGGTCTGCGCCTCCATCGCCTGGCCACATCTCCCCACCTTGCAGGGTCGCTGGTCATGAGCCTCTCCCGAGAGACGGTCGTTCCTGCACTGGGGACCCTGACGCTGAGTTCCTCCCAGGTCCGCAGGGGCCCAACAGTGGCTCCGACCTGCAAGTAGTGCTCAGTCTTGAATGGATGAGGAAGGAAGGAAGGAAGGAAGGAAGGAAGGAAGGAAGGAAGGAAGGAAGGAAGGAGAGAGTTTGGCTCTTGGATGAATGAAAGAATCAGTGAATGAATGACAACAGAAAAACAAGCTGAGTCCCTGACAGTCTGGAAGGAGTGAGTGGAGAGACCCAGAAGACACAACTAGGGTGCCCCTGGGGCCTACAAGATGCAAGGCAGAATGTGCAAGTGCTGCCAACAGCTTCCTGTCTCAGAAGCAGACCCAAAACGAATCATTGTCAGGGATCTGGGCCAAGCCGCTCTGTCCCCCAAAACCTCAACCCGGGAGCTCCACGCAGAGCCTAGAGGCCTTTGCAAAGCGCCGTCCCCCTGCCACCCTCACCCACGCCCCTCCGCCCCCTCCGCCCGTCCCCCTGCTCCCTGTGCTCCCTCCTAGTCTGGGGGGCTCGGCTGGGAACCGCCCCTCGGGCAGCCGTGACTGGAAATCACCTCCGAGGGTGCGAATGCCAGACACGTGCCCTAAGAGAAGAAAGCACGCCAGAGGCAAGGCCACCGCTGACACACAGCCACCAGCTGGCGGAGTGGACCTGTAGGTGCTGCCCCAGGAGACCCGCCCCTCCTCACCTGCGATGATGAACCAGTTCATGTAGTTCAGGAGGTTGATGTAGCAGAGGACGGCAGCGGCCACATAAGCCCGCCAGCGGGGCAGGCTCCAGGGACTGTGCACCAAGGAAGGGGCACACTGACCCGAGGCCAGGGCCTCAGAGTGCCCGCCTGCCCCTCCCTGCCCAGCGTTCCGACACAGTGCGGACATCCTCCCGGCCACGCCAGCCTCAGCTCCTGTCCCCGTCTGGGGGCTGGATGAGGACGCACCACACGCTCGGCACAGAGTCACTTCCTGCGGGCTCCCACACTCCCGACCTCAACGCGGCTCCCCTAACTGTTAGGCATCTTATCTCAGCTTCCTGCCCAGCCCATCAGAGGCTCATGTTCGATTTCATCCTCCTCCACGGCCACGGCCCCTATGGGAAAAGGGCTCCTGTGCCTCCGCACGGGTGACTGGACGACTCTGTGGTCCCCTTAACTGAAGCTGTGGCTGCAATGAGGAAGGGAAGCTCCTGAGACAGGAAATGAAATGAGTCTCCCCGGCCTCGCTCGCTGCCTGGCTGCCCTCGCAGGAGACTGACTTTGAGCCCGGGACTTGAACCTGGGTCGGCCCCAGGAGGCTGAATGCTGGCCGGGAAAGCAGCGCTGGGCCAGAAGGAAAGGCAAGGATGCTTATTTCTAAGGCTGTAACTTGGGGGATGAAGACACCAGAGGGGGCCCCCTGAGAGACAGTCTGCGTGCAAAGCTCACCAGCGCTGCGAAGTCTAGGGGGACGGTTCTGGTGAAGGGCAGGTCAAGAGCATGGGCTGCAGGTGTCTTTTTACACAGCCTGCTAGCAGCAAGGGGGAAACAACAGCTAAACAACAGGAGGAGCAGGCATCTTGACAGAGCTTAAAACAACATCGCCTTGCCGGGCATACAGCTCAGTGGCATAAGGACCTGCCTGGCAAGTGCAAGGTCCTGAGTTTGATTTCTGATATAAAAAAAAAAAAATCACCCACGGGGCAGATGGCATCGTGTGCCTGCAGATGTAAAGTCCTGCATGGGTCACAGTGTGTGCTCCAGCCAGAAATGTATAACCTGAATCTAACCCTAAGGGAACAGCAGACAAACCCAAATTGAGGAACACTTTTTTTGAGAAGGACTGCATTATTCAAAAGAGGGGCTGGGGATGAGGTTCAGTGGTAGAGCTCCCTGTGCTTAGCACACATGAGGCCCTATGTTCAATCCTCAGCACCAGTGGGGGGAAAAAGTCAAAGTCGTGAAAGACTGAGAAAGACTGAAGGCCTATTTCAGATTAAAGGAGAGGACAGAGATTGACACGGGATCCGAGCCTGGATTCTGTGCTGGAGCCAATGTACGTTACTGGATCAGTTGGTAAAACTGGAATGCAGACTGTAGATTACAGTAGGAAAAATTTTCACATCATTGTCAAGTTAACTGAAGTCAATAACTGTATGTTTTTTTTGTGGAGGGAGAGCAGTTCTCCCCTGTTTTGAGACAGGATCTCGCTGTGCAGTTAAGACTGGCTTGAACTCACTTTGTAGCCCAGGCTGGTCTCGAACCCACAGTGCTCCTCCTGCCTCAGCCTCCCGAGTGCTGGGATTACAGGTGTGTGCCACCATGCCCAGCTAACTGTATGGTTATGTAAGTGATATTCTTACTCTGAGAGTCGGGGAGTAAAAGACCAGGATATATGCAACTTACTTCCTCAAAAGGTTCTAGAAAAATAAATAGATACTTACAATAAGAAAGCAAATAGGGCAAAATGTTAATAATGCATGGATCTGGGTAAAGTTTAAATGGATTTCTTTGTACTTATTGTAATTTTTCTATAAGTTAGAAATTATTTCTAAGTGCCATATCTGGTGGTACACACCTGCAGTCTCAGCACTTGGGAGGCTGAGGAAGGAGGATCCCTTCATGTTCAAGGCCAACCTGAATTACATGGCAAGACCCTGTCCCCCTCAAAAAAAAAAATCCTAAGTAAAAAGTTAAAAAGTGAGCCCAGGGCCAGCCTGAACTGCATAACAAGACCCTGTCTCAAAAAGACCAAAAAAAAAAAAAAAGGAAAAATAGGCAGCAAACTTGAACAATTTCTCCAAAGATATAAAAATGACCAACAAATACAAGAAAAGATGCTCAGCCTCACTAGTCACTGGAGAAATGTAGGCCCAAATCACAGTAAGACATCACCTCACACCCACTAAGATGGCTATCACAAAAACGGGGCAGAAAGAGGAAATGACAAGTGCGGGGGAGGCTGTGGAGAAACTGTACCCCGAGCGCTGCAGGGAGGAATGTGAGCGTGGAAAGCAGCGGGCATTTCCTCAGAACCTAAACGTAGAATTAGCGTCTGATGCAGCAACCCTGCTTCTAAGTATACATACGAGATCACTGAAAGCAGGAACTCGGATACCGGTACACCCAGGTTCATAGTAACACTCTTCACAGTGGGCAAAAGGTGGAAGCAACTTAAATGTCCGTTATCTGAGCTGGGAACAGTGACATACACCTGTCACCTCAGCCTGGGCAACTGAGTGACTTAATGAGACCCTACCTCAACCAAAACAAAAAACAAACAACACTTCCCCGCGTGAACCCTGGCATGACACTGGTGGGAGGCCGGGTGTGTGTTGAGGTTCCCCAAGAGCCGGTGCCCGGCTCCCACCAGGGGCCAGCAAGGATAGCCCGCTGTCCCCTCCAAGAATCACCACAGGGAAGGAAAAGGCTGCTGCTGGCCTAGACCTTCCACGTGGGAGCTACAACCAAGAAGTCCCGTTTTGCTAAGAACACACAACGTCCACATTTACCCTGGCAGGAAATGCTGGTATTGAGGAAGAAAAGCAGGGTGGGGAGGACAGCTATGGGTCGGGCCTGGAGCCTGCAGCCCAGAGGACAGAGGGGAGGGGAGGGGAGGAAGGAGAAGCAGCTCCCTGTGCAGGCTGCAACGCTTGGCCACGGGGCAGCCCCACCCTCTAAGCAGCACCCAGGCCAGCTGAAGCTACCAAGCCTGCAGCTTTTGCAAACGGAGGCATAACGGGTTCAGGGGGTTGAGGATGCAGCTCAGTGGTAGAGCAGTGCCTAGCCTGCAGGAGGTCCTGGGCTTGATCCCCAGACCCCCTGTTCCCACAAACGGGCACTTCTGATATAGCCCTCCCAAAAGAATAGAAAGCAAGGACTCAAACAGAAATTTCTATACCCATGGTTTTGTTTTTTGTTTTGAGGTTTGTTTTTTTTTTTTGGTACCAGGAATCGAACTCAGGACCTTGCACTTGCCAGGTAGGCATTTGTGCCACCGAGCTATATCTCCTGCCCTGATACCCATGTTTATAGCAGGAATATTCACAATGCCCCCAAAGTAGAAAAAAAACACAGGAATGAATTAACAAGTGACAAATGGATGAACAAACCAAATGTGGTACATACCTACAATGGAATATTATTTAGCCTTAAAAAGGAGGGAGCTAGTGAGGTGATGGTTGCCTGTAGTCCCAGCTACTCAGGAGGCTGAGGCTCAGGCTGAAGCAGGAGGATCACTGGACCCCACGTGTTCAAGACCAGCCTAGGGCAACATGGTGAGACTCTGCCTCAAAAAACAAAAGCAAAAAATGGAAAATCAGATATGTGTTACAGGTTGGTCTGAAGGTATTAAGTTTTATCAATTGATTACAAACATATATATACAGTACACATGGATATACACACACATATATAGTGTATATGCCACAAAA